GCTGTAAGGGTAAAAGAAATTGAAGTTAAAGCATAAAAGTTAAAGGGTAAAAGACCGGGTGTTGTAAAAGTTTCTAAGCTGCAAGGTCTGAGTTAAAATGTAAAAGGAGGTATTGTTAGGTTTCTATGCTACCTGCAAAACCTGAAATTTCTGTAGCTGTTAAGACAATGCTTAGAACCGCCCAGTAAACATTTCCCCTGATTGTCTGGTTGTTCAATAACTGAAGGGGTCTGTGTGGTCGCACGTAGGCATTGCAGGGCCTGGACCAATCAGTTTAAATGTAACCCCCTCCTTAGGAATGACCTATCACTCCAGCCTGACCTGTTCCCGCCAATGAATGAACTAATCATGTTTAGGAGTTGTTGTTCAATTTTCCTGCGCCTCATGATGAATTGTTCTGATGTATACAAAGCCCTCCGCCCTCCCCAAAAAGTGTACTTAAGCAGTGCTCAGCCCCTGCTCGGGGCTCTGGGCTGCTTTCCCTTCTTGAGTGGGCATGGAGCCCCAGCATGCTGGTTCAATAAATCCCCTTCTGCCAATTGCATGAGTGGTCACTTGGTGGTCTCTTTCTCCAACGTTTCGCGGGACCCTTACAATGCTAGTTTTTTTTTCCTACTTCTCTATTTATTTGTCTGTCTCTCTGTATGTCAATTTATTTAGTCTCTAGACTTGTTTAGGCCAGAATTTAGCTAATGCCCTGTGGGAAAATGCAGCCATGTTGGGTAATACCTAAGAAGCTTCTTTCTGAGAACTGCTCAACTGACTTCCCCTGAACTCCTGCAGAGAGCCCTCTGTGTTTGTAAATGTTCCCAGAATCACAGTGATAAAAAGCCATCTCATCTCTCCACCGATATAGCTAGTACTCCATACCCCTGTATGAAGTACTAGCTATACCGGTGATCTTTTTCTATAGCAGTCATTCACTTCTTTCCTACAGATGATTTCTGTATATTAAATCTTTCTTTATCCCTTATTTTTGTAGAAATAATGGTGCATTATTTCAAAATAATTATTTCAAAAATTATTCCATCCATCCAGAAGAAAAGAATGTTCTTGTTACTTTATAAGTAATTTGTCCCATATTTTCATAATCTTTGAAATTTTTAAACACTTTGATTTTACAGAAGACATTAAAAAATAAATTAAAAAGTTAATCATATTTGTTTTCATTCATATATCCCTTACCTAAAACCACCACCTGCAATAACTAAAATTGCTTTATTACATTCTCAATATCTTTATTAAACTTTACTCTTCCATCATAAAATATAATATGTATACACACAAATTATATATTATACACACACACTTTTTTATTCTAATAATACAATGTTATTTTTTAGTGTATAGTACATATGCAAGCTTTCTCAAAGTTCATGATCTAATACAAGGCAGTGCCTTTATTTCTTAATGTAGTTTGCAAACCCTGTTCATTATGTTAAATTATTTTTTTTATTTTGCAATTTTGACTTTTTTGTAACTTAAATATATAAATTCTGTAAATTTTACAGAATCATGCATTTTTAATTTTTTTCTAGCCTGCATATTTCAGCTTTTAATAGATAATAGTGAAATCTATTCATATATTAGTGATCTACTCACCTGCTTACAAAATTTAAAGTGATTGAATTATTTCTTTTTTTCAAGTAAAAGTTGAGTTTAGCAAATTTACATTTCTTGACCACAGATATAGAACTTGTACACATAATTCTCTGATTTGTACTGAGTCTTGTGGGGAACCATTCATGAAAAACACATGAGGATCTTCTCTCAGCAAGTAGCCAGGGAGATTTTAGGTTTAACCTTGGGAAATACCAGTGGCTTTCCCATGCAATAGATTGCCCAAGGCACTTGACTTTTACCTTTGCTGTCTTGTGGTGGCTCTTGAGATAGGCATAACCCATTGGTAACTGGACAGACCGTCTTTAACCTTTTAGGGAGAAGAACTTTCTATGGAAGAACTTTGATGTTCTCTGATATAAATAAAGCAGGTGCAGGCTCCATTTTGCCTTTTAGTCTAGAAGCTCGATCTGTCTGGTTGGCTTACCAGTCCTACCCTGGCTTTTTAAAAATGTTTTCTGTGTCCTGTGTTTTTTGCCTCATTCTATTTTACTTAGCTTTAGTTTCTTAGCCAGCCCATTCTACCAGTTCAGTGGGATGTGTGCAGGAGAGACTGATTTTTTTGATCTTATTGTATTGACAACATTTTAAATATCATATGTATGCTTGAAAATAATACATATGTTATAAATATTTGATGTTCTTATTATCTCATCTTTGCTCATATGTTGAAACTGTCTTGGAGTCATTTTGATTGTTTTCATCTAAAAGTCCTATAGTGTGCTTCTTCAAGTTTTGCTATAATAACCTTGCTAACACAACGTTGAACACTTAGCTGAATTTCTGTTCAACCTCTTGCCATTCAGTTGAATTTATACTAAAGCATTGTATGATCCACTTATTACTGAGCTAGACTGACTTCCCCTTCTGTAAATCAGGAAATTTGCCTTTCTTCAAATATGAAGTCCTCAATCATTCTTCACCATACATCAGGTGATGACTCACTTTTAAAATATTTTCTTTGTTTTTTCCTTGCTACAATTCCAAACTTTTTGCTGTTTCTTGACTACTGCAGGATATATCTCACCTCTTAGGCTTTGTTCTTGGCTACACAATCTTCAAAAAAAAAAAAAAAAAAACCTCCTTCTTAGTAATTGTAATGACTCCCAGATTCTTATATCCTTCTTTTTTTCCTCCTGAAAACTTTATTACTCCAATAAAACAATTTAACAATTCTTATAAAACTTTTTATCTAATAACAAAAGCTAAACTCACAAATCTAACAATATTTCAGAATCAAATTTATTATTGAAGCGGCAAAGGTTCAAAATCCCTATTACCACAAAGCTAATGACTTACCAGGATCTGTTTTTGATTTTCATGAAAAGCTGTAAAATATATATCCTTTCTCTGTTGCTCACCTATAATACCTTATATATGTTTAAGCTTTTAAAAATTTTTTGACAACTTCAATGCACCCCTCCCCCAAATTGTTTGTTCATTTAACTTCCAATATGCTGATGATAATAATGATATCATGAAAAAATTTCTACAGCATTACATTTGCATTTCACTTAGGATACATCATTTATTAGCCATTGAGAGAGCCTTAAAACACGGTATCCTCTTAAAGTTGCTTGAGACATATGGTCCTATATGACCTGTCATTCTTAATGTCAAATGCTTTTTTAAAAAAAGAATTCTTTTTTAGAACCAAAGATCTTCAAATATTGCTTACTTCCTTTTTACCAGGTACCTTTATTCTTTGTTCGTCTAATACCTGTGATTCTCTTGCTCAAGTCTCTTTAGTTTTGTATAATGCAATGTAACTAGAACAATAAAGGTACTCAATAGAAATATGTTGAATAAGTAAGATATAAATAATGAGTCATATTTCTATAGCCATTTTAGAATGCTATTATGAATAATATAAATGTAAAAAGGAAAATATTAAATTTTATTTAAATGATAACATTTTTGCAACAAATAGTATGGTATGATCTAAGAAAATCATGCCAAGGAAACATTTAAATACTTCTCTGAGACACCAATGTATTTGATAAATCCCCCTTATTAGAATATTGTTTTGATATGAATCATTGTCATATTCTTCTACAGCCATGATAATCACCTTCAGATTTAGCATGAGATTTTATTAGAAACATTTTTCAGCTTTTGAAATAATGAAACTATGTTGCTACCAAAACAATGAATGGTTCAATAGAGTGATTTCAGCCTTCAGGTCAAATTCAAAATTCCTGTGCCAAGTAGCTTAATAGTATCTCTTTTCTAGTTTTGTTTGTGATGCTGTCTTGACACAACTGTAAACAAAGTCTCTTTGCAGGGTAAAGTTAGGTCAGCAAGTCCACATACATGATTGAGTCAAGTGGGGTTTCTCTTCCATAGAAGTGATTTTTTTGCTGCATCTTTCACATCCTTGTTCCTCAGGCTGTAAATCAGTGGGTTTAGCATGGGGATCACCAATGTGTAAAACACAGCAGACACCTTCTCCTGTTCAAGGGAATACTGAGAGCTTGGTTGGATGTAGCTGAAGGTCACAGACCCATAAAATAAGATCACTGCAGTCAGGTGTGAAGCACAGGTGGAGAAGGCTTTGTGCCTGCCCTCAGCAGAGCGGATTCTCTGGATGGCAATAATGATGCGGATATAGGAGACCATGATGACGATAAAAGTGAACACTGAAATGACCCCAGAGAAGACTAAAAGCAGCATCTCATTGGTATGGGCATCAGAACACGAAAGCCTCAGGAGAGGAGGGATGTCACAGAAGTAATGATTCACAACATTAGGACCACAGAAGTCTAGTTGGAGCAATCCTATCGTGTGTGTCAGCGAATTAATGAGACCACCCAATTAAGATGCAAGGACCATTTGAATACAGACGCTTTGTGTCATAACGACTGTATACATCAAGGGGTTTGCTATTGCCACATACCTGTCATAAGCCATCATAGACAAGAGGATGCCCTCTGTGGTTACATACACTGCAAAAAAGAAGCTCTGTAGAACACAGCCAAAAAACGTACTGGACTTATGTTTGGATAGGAAATTGATCAGCATCTTAGGAGCAAAGACAGTAGAGTAGCAAATATCACAAAAAGAGAGATTGCTAAGGAAGAAGTACATGGCAGTGTGAAGCTGGGTGCTTAATCTGATCAAGACAATCATCCCCCAGTTACCTGTCAGAGTGATGAGATAAATAAGGGTGAAGAGTAAGAAGAGAGGGATCTGCAAATCAGGATTTTCAGTTAATCCTACCAGAAGGAATTCCTCCACACCTGTATGATTCCAGCCTCCCATGCATTCAGGTTGATATGACTCCTTAGTAGCAGAACAATATGATGTCATTTAGATAAAAAAAAAATGACCTCCTTGATTCAGTATTCATCATGCATAAGATATTTAGATTACCCTGTACATAAATGGAGAAAAGAAATTGATTTCAGCAGTGGATCATATGTGTGATAGACAATCTGTATCTGTATGCTATGGCTCAAAATTTCAGTATTTCTAATCATTTTATTCCCTGGTTATCAATTTCCACATCAAAATGATAAGAAACTTTATAATGTAAAAATATTATTAATAGGGCTGGGGTTGTAGCTCAGTGGCAGAGCACTTGCCTAGCATGTGTAAGGCACTAGGTTCAATTCTCAGCACCACATATCAATAAATAAAATAAAGATCCATTGACAACTAAAAAATGCTTAAAAATTATATATTGAACATTCAAATCCATATCCTGGTCTACGTCTCGTATAACTTATGCCTACACTCCTTTTCCATGGGTATGACATGACTACAATCCAGAGATAACAAACCTTCCATTATCTTATGGGTAACCTGTACCTACTTTTTACTCCCAGATAAGCTCAAGGTTTTGACTTTCATAATATGCACACTTTCAAGGTTTTGACTTTCATAATATGCACACTTTTCTTTTCCAAATATCAAACCACAAACCTCTTTTTGCCTGACCTTCTAACCACGTGGAAAATAAGGGACTGTGCTCTGTAGCAAATTTGAGTCCAGAAGGGAAAAAAAAAAGAGTCTTTTATTTGCTACTTAATGTTAAGACTGTTCAAAAATTAGGACTGTCATTTAAATTGAAAGTCTTTTCATTTGTTTTCTTCATGTAATTTTGTAATTACACTTTTGTTCTTTATCAGCATTAAAACAATAAACTTGAAAATCCATTGTAGAGAAGCAAGGTGTCATGTGAAGCACCAAAACTATCAGATTTGTTTTGTTTTAAAAAACATAGGGTGTAACTTATTTTCACATATTTTTGACATGATATGTTACCAATTCAACATTAATTATGGCAAAATATTAACAAATTAGTTTATCTACATATACTTTCACACATTCAATAAATATGCAGTATTTGCTGCTCTATGTCAAGATATATTGTATTTTCTAGAGATGAAAAATGAACAAGACAAGTGTCCTGACTTCAGAGAGCTCATACTCTGTTAGGGAAATAAAGAATATGCATACTGATTTATGCAGTGGTGATTAATACTGTTAAAAAAAAAGTAAAGCAAGCAAGTGAAAATAAAGAAATTGTAGGTATTCTATTATATATTAGCTTTCTTTTGCTGTTATCACAATGCTGCACAAAACTGGTGACTTAAAATAGCTAACATTTACTCTCTTACAGTTCTGAGGTTAGAATTTTGAAATTAGTTCATTAGGTGGGAGTGTAAGGGTCAGCGGGGCCAAACTCCTTCCAGAACCCCTTAGGGAAAAATCCATCTCATTGCATTTTTGAGCTACTGGAGATGCACTTTACATACAGGCCCCTTCTTCTCATTTCATAGAGAGTAGCAGAGCACTTTTCTCCATTATTGTACCACCTTCTTTCATAGCAAAATCTCCCTTTGCCTCCTTCTTACAAGAGTAATTGTTATATTTAGTGTCCATGCTGCTAATCCAGGATAATCTCCGTATCTCCTGATCTAGAATAGACTCACAGGAGACAAATCTCCTTTTACATATAAAGTAAAGTATAAAGGATCAGTATTTGACCCTTACTAGGAACCATCTTTCAATTTACCATATCTAGGTTGTTCAAAGAAGAACTCCACAGAGGGAGAAATATGAGCAGTAAAGTGATGGAAGTGGTGTAATTAGATATGTGGATATCTGAAGAAAGAATGTTCCAGCAAGTTCCAAGCCCTAAGAGTGGGATTTTGCATAATCAAAGTACAAAATAAATTGATCAAACCAAGAAGACAAGGGAGAGTGACTGAGGAGGAATAGACACTCTTTTCCTAGGAGTACTTTGTAAGGATTTGGAAACTCTCTCATAAGATGAGAAGCAGCTTTGCAGAAAGGATCACATGACCTGAACAATACTTTTACAGGTTTTTGCTCTAGGACTTTCTTAGAAAACAGACTACTGTAAATCCAGAATAGAAGCAAGAAAGACATTTAGAAAGCTGTCTCAAAACTCTTTGAGAGAGATGACTATGTCTTACAATAAGGTGGCAGTGGGAAAACTGACCAGAAGTCATCCCATTTTGCACAGATTTTGAGATGAGAACTAAGGAAATGGGAGAATTGAAATGAACAAATTGTTATTTTAGGGGTTGTGTAAGTGTGTATGTATGTGTGTGTGTATGTGTGTGTGTTGTGTGTGTCTACATACATGTGTCTAAATACCAAATTGAACTTTTTTTTCTAAATATAAGAAGAGAAATGTATTGAAAAATCAAGAATTTTGTTTAACTATATTTTGCTATTAATTATTTAAATTGCTTTGGCATTTGATGTTTGATTATGAGATGTAAAAATCTTTAACATATGGTAATACAATGTCTGAGATGACCTAATAGGAGGTAAATCTATATAAATAATTTATTCCTATGTATCTTATATTAAGAATGACAGATCCTTCCTGCTCTCTAGACTACATCAAGGGAACAATAATCTATCCAGGCATAACCCAGAGAAGGGAGAACATTCTCTATAATTTGACCATTCTATGAATGTTTGTTGAGCCTTATGCTATTTTTGCTGGTTTATAAAAAAATCAATTTTGTATAAAATAAATCATTCTTTTCTTATTGGCCCCTACTCCTAGGTTTTAGTTCATATAAGTATGAATGTGTCATATGTTCTATGGAAAATATATCTCATTAACAACATTATTATATCATGTATTTGTTATTCAAAGAGTGTGTCCTCTGTGTAGGGAAACATATTAGACATTAGAGATTAAAGAAATGTAGAAGAGTTGAGTCCTCATGGAACTTGACCTATACATAGGTCAGGCCTGGAGTGCAGCATTGTTGGTACTGATAAGTTAAAGCCAAAATCTTCCATCTACAAACATAGATTCATCCCTCAAAAACTGAAGACATAAATTAGATTCTATCTGTATTTCAGATCAATGACCATTGTAAGAACATTGAATCTATATAAGGAAAAGAGAAAATACTGTACTTGGAAGTAGCAAGAAGTTTTTGTGGTTGCTAGTAATAAAACCAGATTGCAAAAGAATCAAAGAGGTTGATAATTGTAAATAAAAGTCAACTTGAAACACGAAGCAGCAAGCACTTTTGAGGTAAAGGAACACTTGTGGGTGTTTTAAATGCTAACCTCCTTCCTCTGCTATGATGCTTGGTGTAATAGGGACATCATAAATAATACTGGGGTGTAATAGAATAATGACTGAGTTCAGTAGGTTCTTCTCCATAAACAATAAAACACATGCAGGAACCAATTCATCAGAGTTTTTGATTGTTCAGAGAAATAGAGGAGTTGTAGCCAATTTAACTAGCGTAAGTTTTCAAAAAGTGCATTAACAATGGCCTGATTCCTATCTCACCATGAGAACACTGAGAAACAGGAACCATATGGAGCAGAGAGAAGAAAGGAGGTCAATGAGTGGGAACTGCAATTGGGTTTTCCGTAATATTTCTTCCTTGTTTATTGCTATCACAGTAGGAAACAATAAATACAGAAACATGGTACCACAGTCAGAGTATGATTTGCTCTTTTGATGTGAGAATTATAGTCAGAACAGAAATCATTCTGACACTAAATGCAGGGTTTTTATTACCACTTACTGTTGCCTTTCTGATAAATTAAAGAGTGATCTCAAATACTAATAATTTTGAGTATCCTCTTAGGGAAAAAAAAATCCTGGAAATAACATATATAGAACCAAAAGACATACTTTGATGTGATTTTTCAAATTTTCAGATTAGTATCTTAGGTGTCATAACAAAATAAGGATCTTTCAGTACATATGAAATTCCTTCACAGTCATTTATTTTGGCTTATAACTCAAAAAGAACATTAGAAAATATATAATTACCAGTGATTATTAATAGTTTAGAATATTGGTGAGAGAAATCATAAAATTAAAATCATTTTAATTCTAATAAAAACTGGAACCCAGCCAGAAGCCTATGGGAAGAGTTAGATGATTATCAAAATAATGGTGTCTCCCTATTGTAGGAGCTCAAGTGTTCACCAAAGTAGAAGCAAGTCCTCCATTCTCTCATGTGGCTTTGTGCACAAGATATGATTATGCAGAAATAGTATATATAAATGAGTTTGTCACAAATTATTGAATGCAAATGATATATTTATATATTATTTATGTAATGTTCATATTATAGTAAAATATGCAAAACTATTGAGCTAATTAAATGTTATATGAAATATGTCAGATTTATCCATAATTATATAAATTTGTAAGTTTATATATGTACGTATACTTTAAGAAAGCATACACGAATGGTTTATAATTGAAACGTTTATTAGACAAAAGAGAAAAAAACTAATTACAAATCAAATATAAAAATAATGATCATAATTATAACTTTAAAAACCTACAATCAACAATAACTATGACAGACTGAAAGTCACAAAGTTATAGTTTAGATTGTCAAATTTAAAATAACACCCTTTAGTGTGAAGATTGTTTTATTCAGGCCCATTTGCATTGTAGTGGGAAGAAACAGCAGTTTGCTATAGCAAAAAACAAGACCTGAGACCTGGGAATGAAGAGAGTGTGTTATAGACAGGATGCAGTAACAAAATCAAGGAATATAGAAAATAATGAAAATATTTTTATGAGAATCATAAAACAAAGTTGGATCCAAATGATTTCCAAATATTATTATTATTCTAAATTGGAACACAGTAATTTTCATCATACTACAACTTCAGAAATTTATAAGCCTCATATATTTCATTTTAAAGAAATTTTCAGTTGATTTTTAGGTACTAAATGAATCAAGTGTTGCATAATTTAAACATTTATGGACTTACACTCAGAAAAA